GGCCCGAGGGACAGGGGGTGCTTGGGGACAGGGTGCAGTGACACCCTGCCCTTCCTCCCGCTCCTGCTGGGGTCCTGTAACTCGCGCGCCCATGCGCATCCCTCCTCTGCCCAGATGCACCAGGAGAGCAAGTGCCGCACGAGTTCTTCAACAGAGAAAATGTCAGCTGTGCTTTCCTCACAGACATTTCTGCTGCCCTCTAACACAGTGAAGCCGCCTCTGAAACGCCATGAGGTATTTCCTCCCCTCGGATAAACTAAATCCAAGCGTCTCCTGGGGCAAAGACACAGTCTTCCAGGTAAAGCATGGGGTAGGCAGCTCTGACTTTGTCAGTCTCGCTGCGTGACCTTGAGTAGCTCACTCAGGTCCTGCCTACCACTGAACTATCTTGAATGGTTAAACTCTCCCTAATTCTTCCACCTTTTCCGTAAGAGAAGGAAAAACGCCTGCCTGCTTCGCAGAGCTGTTACCAAGTTTAAGTAATAATTTTCTGCGGCGTGAGTAGCTTAGACGGGCGCTGCTGTTGAAACACAAAGCGTGGCGCGTTAATGAAAAAGCACGCTGCATGAAGTCTGCAGGGCAGACTTTAAACACTAGGTGTTGCTGTTGCTACAAATTAAAAGCGAAGCGATCGCTCCAGCTACATCAAAAACAGAGCGTTAGAATACCGCTCTTTAGGAAATACAGTTTACTGTCCTACAAGGAATAAGACAGTATCCCCAACAGGCTTTATTCTGGATGTTGGAATGTAGTTCCCTCTTCTATCCCTGGCTGTATTTGCTGTGGTGGCATTCAAAGGCACAAATATAGTCCACAACAGGTTTAAGCCTGACGTAACACCATGCTTCTCAATTTTAGTAACTACACTACTAAGATAAGCATATCTAAAATGCAGGAAAAATCTTTGTTTTCCTTTATTTATTTTTTTTTTTTGGTGATAATGTGCATGCACTGAAGTTTTGGAATGGTGCAGAGAATGGAATTCTTTCAAGTGGGTTTCTGTATTCCATATTTTGTTAGTGTAATTCTGAAACACTCTGTGATCTTGTAGCATGTTAATACACAGAAAATCTGGCTTATTGAGGCTAGTCAAATCATTGAGAGCTGAGGTTACTTTAATGAACTAGGGATTGGGTCAAATCCTGATAGCGGTTTCAAGAATTAAAATCAGAGCACTTCTCACAGGTTAATTTTAGACAAGTAAAATCCCACAGATAATAAGTAGTTTGTACCAATATGCCGTATACTGGAAGGAAAATTTAAATCCTGATAAAGATTGTTCTTGTATTTGGATGTCTGTTACAATAATGGATTCCCCCACCGCCATTACCTGGGAGTTTTTAGAATTTTTTTTCCTCCTACATAGGAATTAAACTCCCCGTACTGCCAGTTGCTCATCATTTGACATTTACCTCTGTGCCTGTTTTCAATTTGGTCAGTTAGTGAACACTTGAACATTTACAAGCTCTGCTATGAGAAACACCTGGAAGAACATTCACTTGTGGGTCTGCCACTTTAGTGCTTGTAGGATTGTAACCTTTAAGTACTCATTCTTAGTAAATGTGGTAATATTATAAACATCAATTTTTTTCTCCTGTTGAGACAGACTAGAACTGAAATCATGCAAAATATATTTTATTTTCTTTTTATTTGAGAAATCTTGAAAATATTTGGTCTGAGTGTAGATACATTTAGACACACCCTTGCGCTTATATTGAAGACACATGGACTTCACACAGGCATAACAGCCACAGAGTTCACTGTAATCAGCACTTTTATGCCTCTAGAAAGAATGCGATGATTCTTCAACCGTGGTAGTGGTGGGGATGTATTTTGTTCAGGACCCAGCTATATGAGGTGTCATAAAACTTGTAGCAAGACTTAGGCCATTACACAAAGAACTTGCAGCGCGTAGAGGTAAAAAGGAGATGAGATTTGTAATGATGTATCTGGGGTCCTCACAGTGATGAGAGTGTATTAGGGCAGTGCCACAATACATGCCAAACTTACCCTCCACCAGAATATGGCCAGCTCCTTTAAAAAAAAACAAAACACCACTCATAAAAAAACTCTAGTAATTATACAAATGACCCCAAAATTTTAAATAATACTGAAAACACTGAGTGCTTTTCTCCCTCACCTTGCAACTCACCTGAAACATGAGCTTTTGGCCTGTTTTGAATGCTGTTCTGCACCTGCTAGTCAGTAATTGCACCCATCTGTTTCCCTTTGGCCGAAGCCTGGGATTCCCAGACTCGGCATGGGAGAGTCCCAGAGGAGCCAGGGCGTAGCTGCAAACAAGTTCCTGACCTCTGTAAAAAGTTTATGTTATTTAAAAGAAGTGGAGGAGTTTTCCTCTCGTGGTGCTCGAGTTAAGCTCAGAGCATGTGGCACAGAAAATCTATAAGCCAACTCACCTCCTCATTGCTACTGTGTTTTTGTTCCTGCAGCTGCTAAAAGAAGTTTTGTTTTGTTTTGTTTTGTTTTTTTAACTCTCTCCCAGGGGCTGCCCTTTATCTTCCACAGGAACAGTTGGTACTCTGGCTGAATCTAATTCACCTGGTTGTTTTCCATACCTCTGCTCCATAAGCAGTTCCGCTCGGGCAGGTAAGTTCAAGTGCTCTGTCACGTTGACTCTGCGGGGACTAAGCCCTTATAGGCAGAGTGACCGACCCACTAAAGTCTTGCTGCCTAGGGAAGACCTGACTGTTTTTCCCATTAAGAAAAGAGTTTTTCACTCAGTGGCAGGGGACAGGAAACATTTCTCTTTTTTTTTTCTCCAAACTGGAAAGAATGATTGTAAAACCACAAAAATGGTTAGGGGAATTCCGAATAGGAGCAGGAACAATATTAATTGGGTTAGGTAACTGAACTCACTGACCTTAGCATCAGGATGCTCTACTGAAAGCTCTTCATGGCGGTATTTGAAAACCCAAGCATCTATGCCTACGTTTTCCTGCCCTCCAAGGGAGGTTTCAATCTAGCATTATGATATGATAAAATGATTAATTGTCATGTTTTTCTTGTGCGTGTGATACTTCTGGGGTGCTCATGGTGTTCTAATTTATTTTCCACGCTACCACTGTAATCTGTTGTAAATAGATGCTTGTAGCTTCCTTGGCAAAATAGCTACACTTTTAAAGTGTAGACTTAAAAAAATTCACACTCTTTTAGGATACCCTAGAAAGCCTGAATAACTAATTTGAGGGTGAGCTATGATATGATTTTTATAGGTTGGTGAAATAAGGACTAATCTGCAAGGCTTTATACTAGAGAAGGTGATGTGGGCTCACTTGGACGTTTGAATGCTTTAGAGGTTGTTCATGAAATATCAATGGTAAAAAGAACTGGTTTGGGAAAATCTGTGAATAATAGACATGCTTTGGTGTAGGTAGTACTAATAGCTGAGCTTTACCATTTCACACGTTGGCAGAGGAGCAGTTAGAACATTGTACTGAGACTCGGGAGATTTGGGATCTATTTTCAGCTCTGTGTTGCGCCTGCTGATTGGCTTCTAATTATTCTGCGCCTCAGTTCCCCCATCTGTAAAAAAGCAAGAATGAGACCAACATCCTTTATAAACAGCTTTAAATTCTGTTCATGAAACACTTTATTAATAGCAATGATACCTTCTCACACATGCTGCTGTTAAAAAAACCCAAAACACTAAATTCACAAATGTCAGTCAAATAATGGTAATGTGCAAGTGGCTAGGGAGAAAATAAAGAAGAGGAGGACCATCATGCCTGCTCCATCACTACTGCGGAAAACAAGATGTTAACCTAGACTCACCTCTGGTGTCAGAATGGCAACGTACACAGTGAATTAGAGGTGTCGGTCTATGTTCTTGAGGTCTGTCCCAGAAATGCCCACTGAAGTGGCAGAATCAGCAGAGATCATCAACTGAACAGATGTAGAACACGAACCACTTTCTCAGCCAGGACTGAAAGTGCACCTTTAAGGGGAAGACATCTCTTCCTTCAGTTTAAACTTGGTCCAGATACTAGCCTGAATCACAGTGGGACAGATCTCCGAAATACTCAAGTCAGAGGTATTTCTGTAGAGCTGAGACCCCAGCCTGTCAGCCACTCGCCACGTGTAGATCTTTGTATCTGCCTTGAAATGAAATTATCTGTCTTGGGCATTGACGCAAGAATCTTGCCCAATGAGCATATTGCAGAATTTTGTGTTAGACAGATGCCTCAGCAGATTCTGGTTACATATTAGGGCTACAACTTACTCATTACCACAAGAGGGAAGCCAATACTAATAATATAACTTTATTTGTGTATTAACTGTGGTTATTGTGGCAAGGTTTTTATCCATTTCAAGGCTGTTGCATGTCTCCTTCTCTTTCCTTGTAGCAAACTTGTATTTGATCATATGTCAGAAACTAAAGAACATTATTCCACATTCCATTTGCTCAATGTCCTGTGAAATGAATTTCATGGATTTGCCTGTCTCATTTGAATGGCAAATACATAAACCTGAAGCAGAAGGTAGGGACGAAACTAAGCTGGTTGCTTTCTTAGCAAATTTAAACAGTCCACATGCAACTAAGGGGAAGTTTGGTGGGCATGGCGCTTGAAAAAATAAAGGTGGTGTTTTCCCTCATTTGGATAAGCATAAGAAATTAAAGACTATTCTAGGAGTCATAGATGTAGCTATTTCTAGTAGCTCTTACCCCATAGTAATCACAAATTAATTCAGCAAGCCTTCTGACTCTCGTTAGGCTATTTTGCAATGTATGTGATCAGCTTCTTCATGGATTCATTTGTTATGGCAAACCTGATCTCATATACTCGGCTACAAACCAGAGTAACTCTGCTGATTTCAGGAACTTCACTGAATCGCTTATCTTGTGGTATGGTATCTGTGAAAGTCACCCTTGTTCAGATCACATGTTGAAGGCTTAAATACGATAGGTCAAGATTTGTAGCTATATTTAATTTTGCAGCCAGATGTTACAATATGCACGCAGCCTTTTGAAAAAGGTCTTCGTAAAGTGGTGAAAGCAGTGCTTTTGCAAACAGGGATTTTTAAAATAGTCCGGGTGTGACACAGAAACTGAATGGGGATTCATCAACCAAATTGCTTTGGTTGATGTTTTCCTGGTCTGTCTTCTAGGTTGCTGCAAGATATAAATATATGAGAGTCACTGTTTAGAATGTTTCTGTAGAGCATTGCTGACATGATAGTGGTTAGAGATCATAATTCTTGGTGTTTGGAAGGAACAGCAGAAATGTGAAGCCAGAAGCAATGCTGAAAAACACATATGTTGAGGCTTCCTATGAAGACTCCTGGGGTGTTCCCTGCAAGTGCAGGGGAGGGAATCAGGGCAAGGTTGTGAAAGTCACAGACGTAGATTGCAGTCCCCAAAGGACATTTGCATAACTAGCTTCTTTGTTAAATTTTTTTAAAAATACTTTAGGAGCACTTTGGGTATGTTGTTCTCCACACTGCCTCATTACAGCAGTCATACCTTAAAATGCTTTCCTAAAAATGCTGCTGGTCTCAGAGAAATTGTCAAGCTTAAGAGGGGAGACATAGCTGGAAATACTATTGTCGCCTAAGTGGGCAGACACCTTTCACAAACCCCCACGGTACATCGTTGTTCAGGTATTTCCACACTATTTTTCTTTTTTCTTTCCCTCCAATACTGTTTTAGGCGCCAGTCCTGTGTGTATATATGCATGTGTTTAACTCTTAAGTACATGAGCAGTCACACTGTCTCCAGTGAGAATATTCACATGACTAAAATCATGCACTTGCATAGGGATTTCCTGAATGAAGGGCATAAAAGGAAATGGCCAGGTTAAAAATAATGGGTTGGTTTTCTCCCTGATGTAATGCCTTTGACACTAGTGGAATTATACAGGGCTGAAATGGATCCAATATGTCCCAAAAAAAGGAACTATCCCCAGCTCACTCACCTGCTGGTTTCTATATCTATGTTCATGGTGTAATCAAAGTCAATCCTCCTTTCCCCACGCTTGGGTGGCTGAGGCTGGGGGAAATTCGGATCGCTTTGCATCAGCAGGAGCTGCACTCCTTCAGAACAGTATCTCCCCAGGTCCCAGCTGTGTTTGCCCTACAGAGCTGCCCATGGAGCTTCACCAGAGCCTGCATTCCCCGTGTCCCCATTGGCCGGTCACTGCCACAGGGGGTGGCTGGGGTGGCCTAACAACAGAGCAGGTCTTGTCTGTCCTGCTGCGTACCCGCTCCCATCTGATGCTGAGCCATTCTGTGGCCTTAACAGGAGCTGCTGGTCTTGGGGTGAGAGCCCCTCTTGTCTCAGTTGGTGTCTAGGTTGCTTCTCTTTGTCTCCTGCACCAGCACTGCTTTGTTCTGTGTGGGCATTAAACGCTCCAGATGAATGCTCACACTTGAAAACAGCTGGTATGTAAACATTAGGAAAAAAAAAAAAAAAAGAAAAAAAAGGTTGTTAGGCTTAGAAGAAACCCCTCTTAAAAACATTTCTCCCTCCTTCCTGTGGCTGTCCTGCCCTGTGCCCACACGCTGTTTGGGAGTCCCCAGCCCGTGCCACCGTGAAGCTCTGACCTGGGAACTGTGTGAGGCTGGACTCATGCCCGCAGCCGGACTTCTGTGCAGCCCATCTATGGTTTCCTCCAGATCACCAGGAGCTGTGTGCCATACCTGCCTGCTCACCCGAATACTCACTAACAGGGGATAGACCTTTGGATGTCAAATGTTAGGGAGTCAGGAGAGAGAGGAAAAATACCCACCCCAAAACACAACGCTGAATAAACAACCTCTACCATCCAGGGCTCATGACTGCTTTTGACAAGATCTATCTTTAGTTATAATAGTGAGTCACATCATTGTGATCTGACTTTACGGTTAGTTTGAGGTATGAGCCAGGCCATGGGATTGAGAGCGAGCGCGAGAGCATCATGGGATGTAGCTGTAAAATTCCACTACTCGCTACTCTCTAAATCAGGTTTGAAGAGCATTAAGAAACAGGAAGCGTGGGGGGTGGGGGGGAGGTATTTTTTTCAGCAGAAAATTATTGCGGCGCCCGGTGCATCGTGAAGTAGTTCATCAGTGCGGGGAGAATAATAGGGGAGACGTATCAGCGATCGGAGATGACCGTAATAGTCTTGAGCAAAGCACACCTCTCTCCGCATAGCTCTGTGTGCAAAGTGTCACGTCTAACCCACCCCACCAGCCACTACAAGCTAATGCAGGATTTTCTTGGATGGTGCTGCGTTGCTTAGCAACATTGCTAGGCAGCATGCTATACATCACGCACGGCGCCGGCTACTACGGTGTAGCAGGGCTGCTTCCAGTTATTTTTCTCTCCTATAAAATATTAATTTTCTGCTCGCCAGCAGACGTGGCACCAGGAGGTTGAGGGACACTGCCTCCCAGGTGGACATGTGCAGCTCCTGTTGACTGTAATGGGAATCACGAGTAGCCCCAGGCTGAGCTAAGCTCCTGGTATGTAAAATGTGGGCATGATTCCTGAGATATAAACACTTGCCATGCATGAGATGGAATACAGGTTGGCTTCAACGTAAATAAATAACGAGGCAGTGAAGGTGATGTGACAGACAGGATAGTATGTGTAACATATACCCCCCTACACTTTTTTTCTTTGACTGACATAAGCAAAACCTGTTTGTGAGGACTGCGTGTTTGTGTACACAGAGAGGGATGTTTACTTGACATTGTGGGATACTTTTGAGGCTCCTCCACACCATGGCATTGTTGGATGGGAGCTCATATCACAAACACCAGTGGTGGTTTTTTAGACTGCTGTGTGTGATTTCAGTGGAGTCGGCCTGACAAGCCCCCTCCCTGAAATCATCACCTAACCAGCTGTTGCATGCACACACACATAAAAAGAGAAAACCAATCCTATTCTATAAGAACCTGAGGTGGCATTACAGAATACAAACAACGGAGATCCTGGTCCCCAGAGCTACAGCGAAGGTGGTTTCTGTAGCTCGCTTCAGGTGTGTGGACCCCAAAGTAGGAGCTGTCTTGTCTGAGGGCAAAAGAGGCCTCTGCAAAAGGTCTACACAGGACAGGGTTTGGACAGTTCTGAAATCTCCAGACCTAAAATGTTCATTTTTTGGACATATCATTACTGATACTGTTAGCAGGTTGCAAGAAGGGAGGGATGCAAAGGAGCTGATAAAAGGCAGCAGGCAGTTTCTGGCATCTGAACACTGTTTTTCTTCTGCACATCAGCGGACAGACTCATTGTTTGAGCCAAGCAAAGAGGGAAGCAAGAGGGGAAAACCACACTGTCAAAATACACAACGGTTTGCGAGATGAACAGCTGCATTACCCTTCATTTACACTTGCAGATATGGGCAGCACTGATGGAGTCAGCAAAACTGTGTTCTGTCCGACAATTATTTTTCAGGAGAGCAGGAATTTAGTTTTGGCTTAACCCGTCCTATTGTAGGCACATCTTACTGCATCTCGGGGTGTATGGTGGAAGCAGGTAAATCAGACTTTTCTACAGTAGAGTGGTATGTCTTCACACTACAGATCCCGGAGGAGTACAGGAACTGCAGTTTGATACAGAAACCGTTCTTGTGGTGTTCAGTGGCATTTGTCCAACAGCAGAACAAAGACAGCGACAGAACTTCCATTTCACGTTTTTTCACCAAATAGCGGCAGACTGAAGCAAATTCAGTGCCCAAGGCTCAGCTCCTCTGTCAGGCTCCTCAGCCTTCGTACATAAGGCCAGTTTAATCCTAGGAGAAGATGTTCAGAATTTGCACTGAGAAGTGTATGTACCTAACACTTTGGAGTGAAAACTACTGCTACAGACAAGTAAAATATCATTCCTCTTGTACCTGTGCTTCAGGCACAAGTGTCATCTACAAGCCTGTCCTGGTTTTGCAGCCATTTTTGTTGGGTGAGGTATAAAGGAATATTTATAACCTGAAGGACTTTAATTGGAATGATTGCCCAGTTTTATTGCTAGATTTTTAGCAGGATATTTCTTCCATAAAACACTTCAGCAAATATTGACAGCAGTCGCAGTAAAATTTAAGGTGTATGAAAAATTTTCAGAATCTCACCATACATTTGCAAATCTTTCTGTCACTTCACAAAGCCTCTCGGCGCTGATCACTTGACCACGGATGGAGCAGCTGTACTTTTGGTGAAGGCCTGAAACTGTGCACATTCACTGATGTCTCAAGGAATGCCTTCCCCTTGTTATTCAAGCAGAGGCGTGAATTTCTGCAGAAGGATGCCCCTCAGTGGTAGAGGAATGCTAGACCCAGCACATGTTTTGGACAGCCAGGGCGCCATGCCCGGTTCCTGCCAACACGAGGACTTCAGCAGCAGAAGGATAACTTTGCTATGAGCATAAATGTCATTTATACTTGCTGCAAGACCTCTGTGGAGTCTTAATACAAATGATGATCTGTCTCAGCCCTTCCTGAGGGCTGAGAGTCATCACAGCAAAATTTAAAAGATAAATTACACCTTACCGTAAAATGGTGCCAAATACAGCACATGCAAGCATCTAAGTCTGTGCAGAAATCAGAATAGTGTTATGTTGGGCAGGAGTAAAAAAAGAAACAAGCTAATCTCTAATGAGATTGGAAAATAGCCGAAGGACTTTCTCGCTGTGAGTTTCATGGTAAATACCACTCAGTTTTCAGTATCGTTAATGTCTCATTATTAAGACTACTATCAAGCAGTAGCCCCACCTACTTTTGTCTGTGTTTTATGGGCACGCCTCAACATTTTACAAGTTGGAGGTTGTGCTAAGAGCTGGAAATATTGTATCATCATTTCATTACCACCTGGCTTGAAGAGAGGATCCATGAATCCGATTCTGTAGGCATCTGCTGTGAGAAAGTAAGGGAGGAGGCCTCTACAAACTCCACTATAGTTACTGGGAAACAGCAATTATTTTTTAAACAAGAGGCAACATTTCTCTCCTACTTCCTTAAACTGATCATTACAGCTTCATTTTTTCCCTTTCTTCTGTTTATTTGCAAGAAATAAGGTTGGTTGGTGGTTTCATGCTACAAGAGATGTCAGTCGTCTTGCTCTCCAAATGACTCAGGGTCAAGGTAATCTGAAAAACATCTCTAACAGAACAAACTTTTCACAGATAAACCCACAAGAACTGGTCTCCTCTGAAAACTATTTGAATGTTTCCCTTTCCTTTATATCTATCTAGTATGTGTGGATAAGGGACAACATGTGGTTATGTTCAGAAGCAGAAGAGCTCTTCTATAAAGACATGGACAAATATGTGGTACGTCAGAGAGGTTACATGTCACCTATTTTACCTGGAAGACCTCTTGAGATGAATACAGCTGGGGAAAAAAGTGAAACCCAGCACTTAATAAAAACTAAGTGCAATCAGATAGGATGTGTATGTGTTTGTGGGGTATCAGTCTCCCTGACTCTCTCTGATACTTTAAAAATCAGTATTAAAGTTATAAGCTAAACCCCTAGGAATGGATAAATGAAAGAAGACTAGCCTGATCAGTTGCCCACCTCTGCATGTGTGTTTTAGGACAAGCTTTTAATTAAACAGTCTCCTGCTATTTGTTCATAGAATACCCACCTCATTGACTGGAAGTGTAGTGTTTTCAGACCCGTCTCTGTCTGGGTGAAAGCGTGATGGAAATGCCTTCAGGAAACCTCCCAGTGACGGACTGGAAGTGTACATATAGAGTATAATGCAGAAGTTACAAGCTAACTAGTGAAGACGAAAAGGAAAAAGTCAACTTATTCTTTAGCTCTGTGCTGTCAGTCCTGAGCACTGAATGGGGTAGGTGTTTTTAAATAAAAGGATATCTGATCTTGTAATAAAAGGATATAATAATTCAAATGCACTAAAGGCTAGCTAAACCTATTTGGACCATCATGACCATCTTATCAGACTGCTTACAAAATTCAGGCCGTTGATCCTCAAACTACAGTTCCTCCCTTCACCCTCTGACTACTGCT